TCAACAAAAAAATATATATTGATCTCCCAATAAATCTCCCAATAAATTAATTAACAATAGTTTTTTTTATATATTACCAATGTCAAATAGCTTTCATATCCTTGACTCGCATGAACATGATGTAAGTGAATTTCCTCATACCTGCCTAAAATTCAGGTAAGAGTCTTCTATTATATTGATAAATACTGTATCACCATGTAACGCGTGTATAACAAACAAAAAAATCCTGAAATTCATCCCATTTTTTCATTCCAGAGTGTGTTCTACTTTCAGTATTGAAAGAAACCATTTTTTTAATTTGACATGAAAAAAATGCATGTAATATTACTATGTTATAATATTAGTCCCTTTTGTTACTATTTGTATATTTGTTACAATTATAATAATAATAATAAAAAAGACTTTGATATTTTTATCATCTTATGTTACTGACTACAGTAGTGACACAAACAGAACACAGTGCAGTCATGTCACATAACATTTACAAGTCTTGTAAGTCTTGTTTGTATTCAATGGAATTACTTTCCTTACCAGGTAGGCATCAGTGAAGGCATTTTTTATATTAAATATCTTTCCCCTCTTTTTAATTATGGATAGTGCATAAGATAAGTATAATTATGCAAAAAAACTGTTTACAAAACATTCGGAAAAAATCTACAATAGTACTTAATCTGAATATAACATGACCTGTGCGTAGGAATAATTTGGTAAGGTATCTGTAATGAGCGCATTTTTGCGCGGAGCTTCTCAATTGCTGCATTGCAGCAACATTTGTACTTGTTAAGAATATGTATTCTGATATTAAATCAAGTGTTCATCAGTTTTAACGGGGTACAAGGGGAAAAGTTATCACCGATCTTCTTCTCCCTTTACCTGAACGACCTATATCCCCCCTGAGTTGAGATAATAACGGTATTATTATTGATTTTCACGTGAATAATGAATGCCCTTCACTTTTTGAAACTATTATTGCTACTTTATGCAGACGATACGGCCGGTTATATTTTTGGAAAATGAGTCCACCTTTCAGCTGTGTTTAGATAATTTCTATAATTACTGTCAAATGTGGAAGTTAAAAAATAATTTTTCAAAAACTAATGTGATAGTTTTTGGAACCAACAAACCGAGTAAACACAGTTTTAACATAAATGGTCAACCTATTGAAACAGTTTAGAAATATTAATATCTAGGTGTTGTTTTCTCAAGCTCTGGGTCTTTTTTTTATCATGTAGAAAACACGTAGTCTTGCAAGCTAATAAAGCCATGCACTTGTACATGAAAATCAGTAACCTTGACCTTCCTATTGACCTGCAGCTGAAATTGTTTATACTTATATACGGAAGTGAAATATGGGGCTTCGAGAACAGAGTTCACACTAATTTTCTTCGCAAAATTACTAAGACCAGAAAAAGTACTCCAAGATGTATGATATATGGTGAACTTGGACGCTACCCTTTTAAACTTGCCATTTAGTCCGGAATGGTCAAATTTTGGAATTGTATGAAAAGTGAGGGTTGTTTACAAAGTAAAAAGCACATAATAAAACTTCTCTTTTCAAGATTCTTAATTTAATTCACTTTTAAATCTCTAATGATTGCATCTTCCGGGTTCTTTTTAGCTAAAGACGTATGCGTAGGGACTGACTTTTTATATAAATTATGACATGACGGATGTGACCAAAAGTGTGTAAAATTGGGGTAAAAAAGACAAACAAAACAAAAAATGCATGGAAAGAGCTCATCAACTTCGATTAACAAGAATATGAATAAAAAAAGTTTTGTTTTCTAAGAACTGATAATGATACTGATAAAACCACGGATCACCACAAACTAATTTATATAATAATTTTGGAAATCAATGTAAAAAATGTCTACCCCCGCACCCACACCCATGTCCTGACGTAATATCACTTGTTATATTCAAAATGCTTCTTATTAAATGCTGAATGGGTAAATAGTCAGCCGATATTTCTGATATCTTAACACGGGTTTTCTATTTAGACGCTAAAGTTATTTGACAAAAGTTACTGTCAAGATTTATTTGCAGAGGAAGACCCATGACTTCGACACATGCATATATCATAATCAAAGGACTGCAAGCTCTGTGGTATTTTCTAATCTTTGCAATCTAAATCATTCTGTATATATGTATGTATTTTCCTGTATAAGTTTATTTTTATGTACTATAATTCATCTTGCAGGGCACCAGAGTTTGATACATACGGAATTTTTGCATAACTAGAGTTGCATGTTCATTTTTTACGACAGCCATACTTTTTCCTTGCATATCGTGGCTACTTCCTTAACAAAGACACTTATTTGTTTTAAAAAAAATTGCTGCCTCGACTGGGATTTAAACCTAGACCTCTCGCACATTCAACGAGCGCTTACCTCTGCACCACGGAGATTTATCGAATAGTTTGAATAAAATCAAGTAATTCTAAATTTAGAATTTCCATTGCATTTCGGGTTTGTAATCCTTATTAATTTCGAGGTATTTTGTTTAAATCTGTTGTTTAAAATTGATGTAAATAATCTAGCGAAAATCTTCTGCCAAAACAGTCCGACATGTAGAATCGATATATTCCACTTATCGACGGTCAGATTTATTTGTGTAGTATTCGGTAATCGACATCGCTAAAATAGCATTTTCATCGATAAAAAAATCATATTCATCCACGTAATTTGTGATTGTGCATTTTATTGACAATTCTATAAGCCAACGCTACTTCAAAACTTTGAATGCTTTGTAATTTGTTGGACACTTGTAACAAAATAAAAATATTTCTTTCTTTTTAATCGCTAGTTTTAAGCTGTTTTGAGAACTACTTGTTGTTTGGTTAGTCGTTAACCTCTGTGTCAGCTTTGTATTTCATGATCATCGATCAGAAAAAACAAAAACAAATGGCATATAAATTTTAAAGTAAACAGCAGATCATCTGTAATAAGACTCAAACTTACAGCGATAACGGAAACGTGATTATAAGTTTAAAAAATCTATTGAAGCAAGACTAATGAATACATGGTAACATATCACACCATTTTAAAGCCAAAACTACCGGAAGTGAGAAATAATATAACTTTGAGATATCATATACTTTTTACAAAAAATGCAATTCTTACCTTGTAATCATTAATACTGAGTCATGTTTATCAGAATACTTGTACTACACAATTATGTTGTCTTAGAAACGATGTTGCCATTACCAAAAATATTACCAAATTCACCTTTCTCATTTGTACACCAACTAACTAACAACACAAACTTCTTGTGCAGAAACTTTATACTTCTTTAGACATTTTGGAAATACATACTTAAACTACGGACACCAACAAGTAATTGCTATTATATATTTTATAGACTTAATGAAAAATATAAGGGTTGAACTCATATAAAACATTTGAGAAATCAACAAACTTTTGACTTTTGGTAATTATACACTGTATTTCCATTTCTGTTAAAATATATGTACTATATATACTGTGAGAAAAACATGCGCAATTGAACTATTATATAGTGGATATAAAACGCACTTTAAATTTGATATTTTAGGATTGTTTAAAATTACATACATGTATTTGTTTAGGAGGTCGTCTAATGGTTTAAAATTTCATTTTTTTCAGAGCGCGATAACTTCTGCGTTTAGATATAATTTGCAATAAATATTAAGTAAATAATATTTGTATCTTCATTGTTTGATAATGATTATGACACACGAGAAGTTTACACTGTTGAAACACAACCTGGGACATAAGATATCTTATGTCCCAGAACACAACGAAACATACTGTATACATTTGTATATTGATCGATATATTTTAATGATAGGTACGTATCGATTATTGACTGGTTAGGCCTATGGTATAGAAATGTATATCTACTTAAGGCCTCAACAGGCGGTAGGATTTGGAAGTACAACACCAATTAAAACTAAGATGTACAGACAAATCTTAATGTGTGAAGGCTACTATTTCTTGAATTCGGAAACCTTAAGTCCAGATGTAAGGGATAGGACATGTTCTATTTTGAAAATCTTGTCGTACAGATTTTTAACAGACCTCCCACAATGACAAGTAACAGATGACCAAATTATCTCCTGATAATGGGTATGATGAATGAAATTCCAGAACAATCAGGGCTAAAAGGTAAACATAGTAGTAGATGGGGGTAAAAATGATGTTGAAAAACTCTTCAGAAGACCCAAAGTTGTGTTATGTTCGAATCCCAAATTATTCCGAAAATGATTATGTCATGGTATTGAACTGTTCTCTAATTGGGGGAGGGGAGGTAGTTTATAAGCGGCCGGATAGCTTAGTCAGTAGAGCCGCAGTACGGTATTCCGAGGGTCCTAGGTTTGAGTCTCGGTCAGGCTTCACATTAATTTTTTTTTAATGGAGGTGTTTCAATCATTACTCATAGCGAAAAAAGTATTTATTGAGTAAAGTATGTAAAGGATCAATGTAAAGGGATCCTTTTTAGGGAAACCTCAGATGATTATTACCGTCTGAATGCAAGTGTTGTATTGCTTTGAAAAGTGTACATCTTATCTCTCATTAGTGCCGTACAACTAAATCTTACCGTCTGTTGAGGCTTTTAGATCACAGGTTTTCCCTTGTAGATGAGCTGTCCCAATAAGTCGCGTTAAAATACTGAACGGACTTCTAAAAAAAATATTCTGGTAGTTAATATGCCATTGTCGAGCTAACAAGCAAAAAAAGCATGATTTCATTTAATATGATTGGACTATGATGGGACCAAAATATACGTATAGGCCTAGATATTTTGGTGGAGCTTTGTAAATAAAATGCTTTGGTTATACAGAATAAATGCAGGAAATTAGGCCTATCGATTAGACAACTAGAGGGCCTTTCTTATTTAAATTCTGTTCTATTTGAATGTAATATCACGTTTATCAGTTTATCATACATAAAATCATGAAGGAAGCATGTTGAGCAACTAATTTGCAAAAGTTAGCTCCCCTTTTTCATTTAACGCCATTAATAGATCTTTTGAAAATAAAGCGCCTTACACATGTGAACGTGTCAAAGTGAAAAGAAAATACCCTTACCCTCTTGAGACAGTGTAAGAAATTTATAAAGATTATTATGGAATGCCGGTAGGGACATGCCACTTTGCTTATTTGCCAACTTCTGAATTGCTTATTTGCTAATTGCTGATTTGCCAATTTGCTTATTTGCTAATTGCTGATTTGCCAATTTGCTTATTTGCTAATTGCTTATTTGCTTATATACATAAATTTGTATGCTATTGTCAGGCGATACGTCCGACTCGCGGAGTACGTTCTTGTTTGATATGAAATAACAAGTCTTTGTTGACTTTATTTCAAGCTCATGAACCTATATCATGTTCTGTATCTGTATCTGTATCTGTGAGGGTACGTCGTAGAGACCAAAATCTGGCTTTAACACGACGGTGAAGGGAGTGCGCCTTAGTCACAAAGTTTTATAGAGTTTTTAAATTGTTGAACTGTTGATGAACACACTTGAGAGTCACTTAGTTTATTCCAGTCTAACACTGTTCTGATGAAGAAAGAATTTTTATAGTTTTCTGTTTTTACATATACTGGTTTGTAACACTTTTGATTATTACACACAGATTTTTCCACAATATTATCACTTATATAGTCTTTATATGATTTAGCTGTTACAGATCGTCTAATGCCCTGAGGAGTTAGGTATTCCCGTATGTTAATTGCCTTATATACATAAATGTTATTATGTTTATAAAGTTTTGTGAATTATACTTGGGACAATTATGAGCAATCCATCATTACCTAGAATATAGGTAGAAAGGCAGATGGATACTTTTTATTCAATTTCGAAAAAAGAAATAAATTCAGTATCAAAAAGTAGTTGTTCTTTTTAATTATCTTGAGTTTCAGTTTTAGCACTAGGGATGCTATTCTATCCACCAAGGCATTGGTTTTCTTGGTAACTTGTTTTTTTCTGTCATATCTCTGTTACATTTTGCTGATTCATGCATCTTACTGCAAACTTTGCATAAACTTTGCGTTACAAGCATGCATACAAAGTACATGAAGAAGCTGTGCCCCTTATATACTGAATGCCAAGGTCACCAAAGTATTGTACTACAAAGCCTTTGTTTTTTTGTCATATCTCTGTTACTATTGCTTACATCTAACTGTAACTTCACATAAGCATTAAATAGGCATCACGCATACACAATATTCAAAGAGGCTTTGTCCATTATACCCTAGGTCATGATCATGGTCATGGTCACCTGATGGCATGTAAAATGTTTAACATGAAGAAACGGAAAAGTGTGACCAAATTTTACAGAGCTAAAAACGAAGCCTATTGCTTAAATGCAAAGATAAACACCCATATTTGGCATGCACCAATTGGGTCATTTGTCATACTATGTGTTCGTACCACTAAAATGAGGCCCTACATGACAAATCTGCTGAGAATAACGACATTTTATATGCCATAAAATAAGAAATAGTTTTGTTTTCAAGTTCTTTTATTTTCAATCTTTACCCAATAATTTTCACTTATATATGACTATATCAAGTGTTTATTATGCCATCAATCTCTGACTTAGGCTGCACAAACAGATCTATAGCTGCAACACATTATAGGGCATTCTCAAGCACAGACGCTGGGGGTCAGATCCTGTCCCCAACATGATACGCCTCTGTAAAGACTATATCAAAACTATTCTATTATTTATTTTAATACGAATTTGACATCCGTTACAACGATAAAACCATTAAGTACTTTATTGAGACTTGGTGGTATATGGTATTTTTTCATACTGGTATATTAAAAATTGTTTGAAAACCAGTTTTAACGATGTCCAATTCTTGTTTAAATATTAAAATATTTTTAATAGAGTGTTTACAGGGTCACGTATCACGTTGGGGTTCGGGATCTGACCCCAAGCGTCTATAGTTCTCAAGGACATGTCAGCCATCAGTTGTAGACATATATCTGCGTAGGTATCACAGCAATTAAATTCATTGACCAACAGTATTCTTGGAAAAAACACTGAATTTACAAGAATACTGTTGGTAAAAGTGAACAGATATGACTCAACTGGTTGTTTTTCATATACTTCCGGCACAGTGTAAACTATTTCTATTGCAAAAAAGCAAATTAGCAATTGGCAAATAAGCAAATACGTAAACCAGCGGTTAACAAATAAGCAAATTAGCAATTCAGCAATTGGCAAATAAGCAAATTTGTCATTAAGCCTATCAGCCATTGGCAAATAAGCAAATCGGCAATTAGCAAATAAGCAATTCAGCAAGTGGCAAATAAGCAAATTGGCATGTCCCTACCGGCATTCCATAGATTATAGTTAATGTGTTGCATTTCTTCTACCTATAGCTTATTAGTACTGAGAAAATTTTTAATTATCATTGTATAATTTTCCCGCAAAGCCAAAGGCAGAAAGGAACCTATAAATTTTGATAGGGCTACAAAATCTACTAGAACCAATCATAGGCAATCGTTTCCACAACTTACTATGCTTTTTGATTTCTTTAAAAAAAGAATTTATAGTTTGTATATAAAATACTACTTTATATAAACATTTTTTTTTATTCACAGATTTTAAGATTGTGAACTTTGAATCCTGGTACCTATGACTATGTAATGAATAATTACAATGAAGTAATGTGATATGTCCATGTAACAAATAAGTCCCTGTTGTTTTTTATATAATCTTCAGTATAGGGTCTGTACGATGAATGTATGATATGGCAGGCAGTCAAGATTTACTGAAAGAAACAGTTTTCCAACTTCTATTACACAACCAAAACTTGGATAAGACCCTTTCTGAGGTATGTGCATGTTTTGTTATTTTGTCTTTACATAGGATAGATTCCAGTATTATCGCCGTATTGAGAGTAAGTAATTAATACTGATATTAAATCTTATTTAAGTAACAAGGTATACAAGAACGTCATGATTAAAAGAAAAGGGAGAGGTTGACGTTAAGTGTTTTTTAAATTCACCATTACGATGACATTTTTACACTTTTTGTTTCTTATCAAAAGTGCAACTGAGTTCTAATTAAAAGCGACTCTGTAACCTCAACAGGTAGCGCTTTAAAAAAAATTTATAAAAAAGGGGACTACCTGATATTATTAAACCCACAATACAACCAGAAAGGATTATACTAATACACTAAACACTCATTTGAAGCCAGATTTCAGTATTTTAATATCCAACTCACTGGGACATTTATGTTAATATAATGGGACAAGCAAGTTCCATCAATAAAGAATAATAAGACATAAAAAAGTTATTTAGCATTCAATATTTATCATTGTGACATTTTATATTATATATTAGCAAGGCTTTTTTCAACGTTACATGGAAAATGAAAAAAATATATCAGATTAATGAATGATAAAGATGAAATAGGTTACATAATTCATATAGGTCTTATAATTAGGACTACATTACTGTAACTTACAGGCATCATAGCTGCTCATTTGAAATTGGATAAGCATAATGTTTAAATCAAAGACTAATATTGATTCTGCTATTATTATAAAATACCTTAATAACATTTCGTAACAGCTAATTTGACCTGCATGCATTTATATATATATACAAAAGGACCAGTTGGATTATATTCCTCTTAATACACCATTTACACCAGTATGGACTAAAAGGCCATTTCACAACATTTAATCAACAAGACCAGATGCATGGGTCTAATTTGATAAATTTTTCACAATGTGCTAATCTTAAGCTGTTTGTCCCATCAGATTTTTTATATCAGAAATTTCTGTTAACTAGCATGACCTGAGATAGAATCAAATATTATGGCTTTTATCAATGTTTTCATAGATATTTTCCCCTTATGGCTTAGGGGTTGTCTTTAAGGGTTGAGGCATCAGAATTGCAGCCACAGTTTATCACTGCATGATTATTAGAGGCAACCAAATGTGGGTTTGAATTACTGGAGTCTATGAATCTCTTAGCTCAAGCAGGTGAGGTGGTTTTGACCCCTGGTGTTGCTTTAAATTTGTAACATCCGAGGTTAGCCAAAATCATCTTTCCTGTTTTGGCGCCATATGACTTGAATTGTGGAGGTGCTTGGTAAAACCAAACTAAGCAAACATACACCAAAGATAATATTAAATTTGATAATTTAAAAATAGTTTTTTTCAAAAAAGCAACATGGGTCAGATAAATTTAGATGTTAGTTTGGTTAACAATCAATGCAAAAATTTCATTGAGTAGTCAGTATCATCATACATACATAATATTCAACTTTATTTCTTAGTAAATAATGAAGGTATTCACTTGAAATTGCTCACAATGATGTTTTCGAGTTTATAATTGTAGATAACTGTCAAATACCATTACCTATGACTTGAAAGGATTTCTTTATTTAATTATATTTACATGTGAATGTAAAGATTCTTCATTATTAATGCATGCATGTAAGCTCAAAAACAACACTATGTATTCTGTTTAAATTGTGCATGTATCTTTAGGATCATAGTTCTGGCTCTTAATAATCTTCATGATCATATATGTCTCCTTCATTTTCATTAAAGCTGGAAAGTTTGCCTTATGACACTATAAATAGTCTGCTGAAAAATATCACAATTATTTTCTTTGGACAGGTATCATCATTTCGACAGGCATGCAAGGATGACAATGTTTTACTGACTGGTTTGGCAGGTATGTAGTTATGGTCTCATTTAAAGACACAAAATAGATTTATCAAGGAAGGGCAGCATGAGTTTTATAACATTTAAATAAATGCTTTTAGAGCAGGTTAAAGGACAAAGGTAAATTCTTATCTTCTGAAGCAACTAGTACTAAATAGGGGTGTCATGATAAGAAAAAATGCTAACCGTTTAAACGGTGTTAACGTCGTGTTAAATGTTTAACCGACAGTACTTATAAAATCCTTAAATTTTCAACATTAACTTTTATTTATTTTTTTTTATGACAAGATATACCATTTTGTTCATATTTTGTTACTTTAAATGATTATAGTACATATCCAAATATGGAGTAACTATTTTCCGCTAGTGTCGTACCATATTCAATCAGATCTGAGAAAAATGTACTAAAATTTTAAGAAAGATAAAAACATTCAAGATCCAAGTGATATTTTACATGTAATATGCAGTTTAAGACTGATTTTGCAGTATCTTACCACCATATTGCTACTGCGTTACTAACACAGTAATGGCTGTTTTGCACATGTTGACCACTTTTTGGGAAAAAATTGCATTGAAAGTGCCAATTGCAATATGTATTTTTGCTTTATTTGTTCATCTTACAATATTTTACTTTTTGATACATTTCCAAAACTTTCATGAAAATTGATAGAATCTAGAGGCCTGCTGCTTTAATTGAAGCTTTAGTTGATGATATAGATTTAAATCATTTGTTTTATTTTGACAGAACATCTTATTTCATTCCAGAATTTGGCTGTTTGCCAATATTGAAGTCAAATGATCTGCCAGATGGGCAGTTTCATAGTACAGAGATATGTATGGAGAGAGTTGTATCCCTTTATTCTGACAGTGGCAAAATATCAGAAGATAAAACAGTAAGATTTTGTTCCTATAACTATTTCAACTTCAAGGTTTTCAGCCAACATTTGGTTGCTTAATAGATCTTATTTAGTTTTAAAATTTATGATATGTGTCGGCAAGATAACTACATAATTTATATTTACGCTATTATCTTACAGGTTTTTCAAAGTTATCCTGTAAGCCTATGTAAGCACTTTATCAGGTTTATTCATCAGCAAAAACATGAGTGAAATATTATTGCTTAAATTTTTCTTAGTAAGGTATTTGAAATGCTAAATAAAGGCGCTAGGCCTTATACAGCAGAAATTAGGAAATTTTGCAACTGAACAACATTTACGCTATTATCTTACCTGCGGCGCTATTTGACGTCAACAATGTTGTTATTGTTAATATATTACTATAGAGATTTTGTACACATTGAATCAAGAGTCAATACAGATCGAACCTATGCAACTTCCAATATCAAAATCACTTTCACAATATGTTAAATTCAAGCCGTTTTCTCAACATTTAAGGAATGCCTCCAGCACCATTTTTAATTCAAGGTAAAAAGCATTATGAAAAGTAAAAATTGGGATTTGTAGAGTAACTAACAGAAACAGCTGAATACATAATAAATACAAAAACAAACCTTCTACTGATAACTTCTGTATTATTATTTTTGTATAAGTTATTTCAGAATATTCCCTATTTAAGCAAATAAGCAACACCATTTATGCAGACTGTCTGTTGGGAAAAATTTGTCTCTCAGTTGGAAAGAAAGCTATGTTTTGGCATTGGGAATGACTTTGTTTACTGGATGAAAAAGAAGCATTAATTCAATGCTTGACCCAGATAAATGATCAAATCATTCGAAGCAAAAGCGAGGCTGAATCAATATATAGTCGATATTCTGATTTATAGATATATATTTCTATTTAAAGCCATATGTTTTTATTTATAGGCAGAAGTTCAATCATTATTGCTGATGATGAAACAGTTGAAAGATACAGGCAAGCTGAATGTTTCAAGATTGAATGATAAACTGCATGGATTGCCCAGAATTCCATTACATTTCATGTGGACTCTTCACAAAGAAGGCATCTTTAGTATTGAGCAATATTTCTGCATGTAAGTATTTAAATAAGAATACAAGAGTTTAGTTACAGGGCAATTCTTACTGGCTTATGCCCCCGAGGGAGGCAAAATATAATCACACCCTCTGTGCGTCCGTCTGTCTGTGCATCCCAACTTCATTCGTGTCCGGACTGTAACTTTGTCATACATTGAGGGATTTTGAAATAATTTGGCATAAATGTCTACCACATCAAGATGATGTGTGGCGTCCAAGAACAACGTCCCTACCTCAAAGGCCAAGGTCACACTACCATTTTGAAGTTCACTTTATCACAATTAGAGTTTTTAGGTACACATGTTTGTGTCGGGCTGTAACTTTGTCATGCATGGAAGGATTTTAAAATAACTTGGCATAAATGTCTACCACATCAAGATGACATGTCGTGACAAAGACCCATGTCCCTACCTTCAAGGTCTAGGTCACACATAGGTTGAATGTACTCATTCTCTCAAGAAGAGTTTGAAGATACACATTCATGTCCGGACTGTAACTTTGTCATGCGTGGAAGGATTTTAAAATAACTTGGCACAAATGTCTACCACATCAAGACAATGTGTCATGCTTAATGTTGTATGCATGTCTTTCTAGTCCTCAAAAATTATTTGTGCCAATAATATATAGTGTTTTAAAATCAGTACTGCATAAGGGAACAAAAAGGTTCAAAAGAGGTTCAAAAGCCAGAGAACATAAAATTTGAAATTCAAACATAAATCAACTGGGGCACTTTAAACAGAAAATATGCAACAAAATATAGAAATTTACTAAAAGTTAAATTGGAATTTGATTTTTTATATATTCTGGGCCAGATTTTAGTTTCATTTTTGGGTCATTTTGCATCTTGAAAATCATTCCGGAAAAGTGGGAGTAAGCTAATCACGCCCGTTTAACTCACAACGAGTGAAAAATGTCCATCGGTAAAAATGTTGTGAGCAACTTCCGTTCCTCATTGTGAGCACCCATCTTTGACGAGTGACACGATAAACAAGGTGAGTTTTTCATAATTTTTGAAGATTACAGACATTTATGTAAAAATATCGGAATGCAGTTAGCTAGCGATGTGTTTTCCGAGTATGCACATGTAAAGATATTGCCTGTTGGTGGACAATTTGATGGAAATACCGTGCGACGCAGTCACTCAGGGTAGCTGGAAAACTGGAGGCAACTTCTCTTTGGACCTTATTTAACATTGAAAACGTCGATTCTGGTGACGTTTTGTGCATTCTAACATAATACAGATGCCCACAAGTCTTCAGCGTAAATTATTATCTGAAAGTCTTCATAGAAACGAAGATATACTCTTTTTTGCTTTAATCCTCGTTGTGAGCACCATAACCTCGTTGTGAGCAAGACAAGCGCAGTGCTTGTCTGGTTTTAATATGTAATTCAAATGGCAAGACTACAATTTTCAATCTACCAAAAGCAATCAAAACGTTTTTGTACAATAGTTTTTCTTTGCAATAGTTCTTCTTTTTCTTTTTTTTGAAAATTATTCTTCATATTCACAAGTCATCAGATTAACAGAAGAACTAATCAGTGGAGGTAAATCAGGTACATTGTATTTTATTTCGTATGTACTCTAGTGTGGCACGAGTGAACATCACGGGGTGTTTATGAATATTTCAACAATTTCACAATCTGTGTGATACACACATACATGTGTTTATCCTGAGCTGAAGACTGACCAAGTTATGTAAAACAAGAACTATCACGGTAAATTGACAATGCCCCTGAAGTGGTGCTTTGTCCTTTGATTTATGGACCAGATAGATTATTTGTTTTTGGACAATTAGATCTTCAATGTGAAGGTAATTCAAGGTCAAGGTGAAATAAATATAGGTCAGTTGGAAGGTCTTGTCCAAAGGGGCATTGTGTCCAAATATGAATTAATTCCACTTACTTATAAAGAAGTTATGACCAATGTTAAAGTTTTTGGATGTTCTAGAAGGTCATTCACTGTACAAGGTAAAACAATACAGATCAGTTTGAAGGTCTTGCCTAAAGGGGTGTTGTTTCAAAATATGAGTAGAGTCCGTATACTAATAAGGAGGTTATGACCAATTTTTAAGTTTTTGGCAATTTGACCTTCAAGGTGAAGGTCATTCAGGGGTCAAGGTCAAAATAATATAGGATAGTTGAAAGGCCTTGTCCAAAGATGTGTTGTGCCTAAACATTATGCCAGGACATTATGGCCAATCTGAAATGTTTTTGGACAATTTGACCTTCAAGGTAAAGGCCATTCAGGGGTCCAGGTAAAAAAATACAGGTCCGTAGGAAGGAAATAACGGGTGTTGTGTTCAAATATGAATCAAATCCGTTTACTAATAAGGAAGTTATGGCCAATGTTAAAGTTTTCGGACAGATTGACGGACTGACAGTTCAAAACTAATATGACTCCCTTTGGGGTATGCACAACATCTTGCAAAGAAATGCTGCTGTGAAAAAACGTTTTAATTGCTGTCGTAGATTGAAAATTATATTTTCACCATCTGAATTACATATTAAAACCATACACGCACTGCGCTTGTCTTGCTCACAACGAGGTTATGGTGCTCACAACGAGGATTAAAGCATTAAAGGGTATATCTTCGTTTCTATGAAGACTTTCAAATAATAATTTACGCTGAAGACTTGTGAGCATCTGTTTTATGTCAGAATGCACAAAACGTCACCAGAATCGACGTTTTCAATGTTAAATAAGGTCCAAAGAGAAGTTGTCTCCAGTTTTCCAGCTACCCTGAGTGACTGCGTCGCACGGTATGTCCATCAAATTGTCCACCAACAGGCAATATCTTTACATGTGCATACTCGAGAAACACATCGCTAGCTAACTGCATTTCGATATTTTTACATAAATGTCTGTAATCTTCAAAAATTATGAAAAACTCACCTTGTTTATCGTGTCACTCGTCAAAGATGGGTGCTCACAACGAGGAACGGAAGTTGCTCACAACATTTTTACCGATGGACATTTTTCACTCGTTGTGAGTTAAACGGGCGTGCTAATGGTCAGACATTTTGCAGGCATGTTATTTGTCCAGACATACTTCAGATGGTGTACAAGTCAAATAGAATAGTCTGATGATGTCAATAAACCTCAGTGGAGTCCGTTTTTTTATATATTTCAGACAAAAAGATAGAGCAGTTACTGGGGAGATATTTGTTTCAAAAATGTGCCAGGCTTGTGAAAATAGACAATATGATGTAATATCAGGTAGTTGTTGACATAAATTTACATTTTAGTTATCTGACAAAAATTGTTTGTATGTTATATAACTCGCATTATATATATTCTAATTTGTTCAACATGTTTCGTAAAATTCAGTATTTAACCTTCACTCTTTTGATATCCTATATATCTAATTTATGATATGGTGTAAGTAGATTATTATTTGTTGTTTGAGAGAGAATAAATGTTTATTTCATTTGAAAACATGTTTTTTATATTGACTGTTATTTCTCAGTGGCCTTAATATTCAATGCAATGTATCTTGACAGATTGTCTTACATACTATTCTATAGATAAACTTTTGTTTTGTGTTTTACTTTTTTCAATGAGATATTGAAAAAAAAACATCAGTAAGATATAAGTCATATCACACTGTTTGAAACTTGAGTGAGATATAGAATTTTGATTCCCATTCTATACCTTCATAGATAGAGATAGAAAGAACACATAACAGATATAAATTTTCAAGACTTCACTGATAAACGCCATATAAATAAGTGTTATTTGGTGCCAATGTTTGGTAACATTTGACTAGTAATAATGGAAATCTATAAAGTGCAATGTACGATTAGATGATCATTTGTTTCTTTTAAGTGAATACAGACTAAAGCTAACTTTGTAGTGAGAATTTGGTATATTTATCCTTGCGCACATGAAAATATTTTAAAATTCTCACTTCTTTGTGAGATATATACAATATTCACTTAACACAATCAAAATATCCTTTGTCGTTTTCAGGTGTACTGACTGAGCTATTTAATCTCGGATTTTCAGAGGACAAAGCCAGTAAACCAAGTGTTGGCAATTTGGCTGTTACTGTTGTTGATCAGTTTTTCATTAGTAAGTAATTATGACTTTCTTGACAACCATGTAATTGTTAAGGAGTGCGACTAAAAAAAGGATTAGAGCACCGCACGAAATACTGTATTCCGTTATATACAGGACAAGGCGCAGGAATGATTAAATGCTAAAATCTTGCCTTTTCACCCAACGGAATGAACTCAATGAAACGTCTTATTCATCTTTTCAAACCCATTTGTGTATGATAATTAATGAAAAATGTAAGAATTGCCAAAAAGAATAAAATATTTGTCTATCTATTCATCATGATTTCTGCAAGCGTCCAGAGGTACTGCTCCAGTCCTGTATTGAGTTAAATCCATTGTTAACTAAGTACAGCAATTCATTAGAGATGCTTTGCAGTTATTGAATCATTGTAACTTTGTCTTGTGGATTTATATGTAGGTAATTTCTTCCACACTGTATTTCTTTTAATCTCGTTACAAATGTTAGAAACTGGTTTATTTTCTAGGTATAATAGAAGATGCTGTCAAGAAGGGTAACTCAGATGATAATGTGAAGAATGAAAAACTGTTTATCTCCCTTTCTAGTGTGCAGCTTGATGTATGTACAATGAAGAGTGTGTGTACCCATGTGTTGACAGTTATTCTCGGTCATAAACCTGTACTTAAAGGTAGAAAGTCTTACTGGACCTGTATGTAATGATACTTTACTGAACCTTAATGTAAGAAAATTTCACAAATATAGAGGGAAGTTTTCCTGACCTGAACTTGTATGTAAAAAAAATTATCGAGGCGTTTTACTGAAATTGCATATAAATGGTAAAAAAGATGTATATTCCTATTCATGTGTACATATTTAGAAAATTTCACAAAAACATTTAATGGTTATATCCAGATTAAAAGATGGACAGGTACATTTAAGATTATAAGTGTGGTTAAGTTTAAAGTTAGTAGCTTATTAGAATTTTGTGCCATTGGATGCTATGGATTATTATACAGCCAGTGGCTCAGATTTTCCTGTATGTTAGAGAGCTATCTGGCTAGTTTATTGAAGTTATATGGTTTATAATATCATACCTTAATTTATGCACCAGTGGGTGTTCCACCACCAGTGAAATGGGTAAGTTGCCATATGATATGTTGTTATAATATATACTCAGATTAAAAGGAAAATTGAATTTAAGTCATATGAATAAGTTTCATTAAGAATATTCTTGTTTTATTTCAGTGTCTCAAGCTATACGAGAGCAAGAGAAATGGGCTTATGGGAAAATTTCATCATCTGTCACACAGTTATATAAACAAGTATTACAATGCATATGATCTTCATTATACCTTTACCTGTAAAAAATTGAATAAATGGAAAGTTTTTGACTTATCTATAAAATGTATAGAAATGGTCAAATTCAGCCAAAACATAAACAGAAGCACTGAACAAGTAACATACTGAAATAATGAAAACAAGTATGGATAAACAATTCTCTGAATATTGATGTGCCCTTGATATTTGTCATCAAATATTGATATATCTTTGATATGCTTCTGACTAAATCAATGACAGCGATACTTATTTGTCCAACTGTGGCTTGACAAATAGTTGCAATGAGGGGACATTCTTGTCCTAAGCCTAAAGACCCAATCATATTTTTTAAGTCTTATCTCAATAGTTCAACTTATGAAACCTAAAATGCTCTCTGTTTTCTTGTTTCAGTTTCTGTTACCATTTGAAGTGTCTGAGGTGTTGCTATTATTAAGACAGATTCTGGAACAACAGGAAGTGAACTGGCAACTCCTTCTGTCATTTGTATCTGTTACAATGGTGTGTATGCCAGAAACAGCTAAACTTTTCCTTGGTGAGTATTCACATTGATGATAAAGTCATTGTGTAAGTGAAATTAATGCTACAGGTATATTCAACAACTAATGGTTTTATCTATGGCTCTGATCTGCCAAGCGAATTTTGTTATTTTTGAAAGACATGAACACCTGGGTGAAGTGGAAGAGTAATATGGTTTACAACATTTATAGAGTTAGCAGATGGTTAACAGATTGTTGACTTAAATGAAGAGTTTACAGATGATATTAAAGAATTTACATAATAGTTTACTACATTTATAGAGTTTACAGATAATTAAGTACATTTATAGAGTTCGCAGATGCTTAACTACATTTATAGAGTTCGCAGATGCTTAACTACATTTATAGAGTTCGCAGATCGTTTTGCTACATTTGTGGAGTTTACAGATCGTTTTGCTACATTTGTGGAGTTTACAGATGGTTTACTACATTTATAGAATTGACAGATGGTTTACTACATTTATAGAATTGACAGATGGTTTACTACATTTATAGAGTTCACAGATGGTTTACTACTTTTATAGAGTTCACAGATGGTTTGCTACATTTGTAAAGTTTACAGATGGTTAACTACATTTATATAATTTACAGATGGTTTACTACATTTATAGAGTTCACAGATGGTTTACTACATTTATAGAGTTTACAGATGGTTTACTACATTTATAGAGTTCACAGATGGTTTACTACATTTATAGAGTTCACAGATGGTTTACTACATTTATAGAGTTCACAGATGGTTTACTACATTTATAAAGTTTACAGATGATTTACTACATTTATTAAGTTTACAGATGGTTTACTACATTTATAAAGTTTACAGATGGTTTACTACATTTATAGAGTTCACAGATGGTTTACTGCAGGAAGGTTTAGACAGTTGTGAGATGGAAACAACCATTATGGGTATTCTACTATCAAGGCAGGCCTGTTTTCAGGGACCACATGTCTTCCTTTCCTATTCAGACTGGTTTCAGGTATTTAATTAGAATTTGTTCTAAAAATAGCAGTTAAAGGGTGTTTGCATTTTTCGAAATTTGTGTTTATAAAAAAACTGTGAATGACATCTTCAAGTTGGCTGAAATCTGTTGGTATGAATATATGAATGATTTCTCAGAAAAATCCAAGACTGTTAGAATAAATTTGATTTGTTAATAAAGTATTTGTTAGGGGACAGGATTTTTTTCCTGTATACATTTTTTAATGTCAAGAGAGAAAAAAATCTTCTTGTTTGTTATCCTGTTTTTGATATAAGTTCATGTATTATCACAGGAGTTTGATCTTGTAGCAAGAGTTATCTGTTAACATATATAAGTTCAGCGGTCTTGGTCACATTAACCAATATGTAGGTTGAAAAAAAACTTAAGAATCTTTACTGGTAAATTCTTTTGTTTAAATTTTGATATACATGTTCATTTGTAATTCATGTTGATGATTTGAAAGTGACCCTCTACCAGGAATGTTCAAATACTTACGATTTGACAACCAGATTCGTATTTTTGTATCTATTATTTTTAGCTGACTGGTTAATTTAGCTTGTTAATTGGAGCCACTGTCAATATTAGTATATTCTTCATTAGTTAATTCATTAAAGATATGATACAAAGCTATTTATTTTTCAGAGAACATTTTCTGAGGGGTCAAGGTCATTGGCAAGTACTAGGAAAAGTTTCACATTTTTGATGAAATTTCTCACAGACCTGGTACCTTATGAGTCAGCTCAACACATCAAGGTAAATTTCAATATTTTGTAGTTTAGTGTTACCCAAACTCCCCAACCAAAATTGAGCAGTGAAGACAATATTAGAGGTGTCATCGATAAGGATTTTTGTATTGATATATCGGTAATGAATTATCGGCGATACAGGGATATATTGATTGCCAGGCTAAATTTTAGCTTTCAAGTCTTTTTAAATTAATGTTTCCTAAGGACACTGACAAAGCAGTTATATTAAGACAAATGCAAAAAAGATAAACTATGAAAACCGAATAATTTGTTTCTTTTTTTTATCATATAGCTATAAATGAAAACTAATGACTAGTAACTATAAAGTTTAAAGCCTTTTCCATTTTACTTTTGTTGTTGTTGTTGCTATTACGTAGTTACTGATCATGCTAAATCCCGTCCTTGCCGTTCCAATTAAGCCGAGTTTAATTGGCATATTATAGTGTTTAGAACATGAATATTTATTAAAGTTTAACATTTTGTAATCATAATTTTTACAAAGAAACACTGACAAAATTTTCTTGGCATTTTCCCTTTTTAAAATCTGAATTTAGGGGTCTTGACATCCACTTAACAGACGTGCGAGATTACAATGAAATTAGGCAGCATTCTTTAGAGACAATGGGAGGTAACTTTAGCATTGATTTCCGTTTTCATTTTAGAAAAAAAATGTTTCTGGCTTCCATAACTTTATATGTCCCTTTTATTTTGACGTTTTGCGACAGTAAACAGGTCTATCAGTTCTATAGTATAAAACCTGTTCGCTGAAGTCTCTTTAGCTAGAAATATATGTGCATTCGATATCCGATATTTAAAAAATGGAATCGATATCGAATTGGATAACAAAGATCGTTGATACACCGATATCGATTGAATCGATGACACCCCTAGAAGACATTGACCTCCCCAACAAAACCCGTGGAATCAGTCAAGTTGTAAAATCTACACTAAGTGGCCATGCAATGCAAGCTGAACATATTATAAAATATTTGATTGCCAAATAAAACGACTACATTGACAAAGCATTACTTGGACAGATGGATGGTGAAATAATTGTTCATTTTTCCAGCTGTCCCCAGCACTTGCTCATTGATATTTGGGTCCAGGGTTACAACTGACTGATACATAAATATATGTAAGGAAGGAAATTGAAACTATTTGGCATATAGGGCACAACTTTATATTGTCATGCTCTGAGATGCTCTTGGTATTTTCATCATATTTCTGATGAAGGGTTTATTTCTATAGCTACATGTAAATTGTATTTTTCTGTTCTTTTATATACAATAACTTTATTTTATGAAAGAAGGAGTTGAGGCAGTTATGTCTTGTAAAACAGATTAACATTTATAGAGATTCTTGTAAATTGACTCCAGTATAATAATGACATATGATTAGTGTATTGCTATGTATGATTTTTTTAGTTCTGGTTACCTATATGATTCTTACCACCAAGAAAGTCAAGTGTAGGTCATTGTTATAGTTCAAGATCACCTACATGTCAATGCTGTATGAATAGACATACTTGATATATTATTTACAAGATAAGTTAAATACTTTTGTTTTGAATTTCCTAACATTGCTGCGTTTTCTTATGAACTTGTTGTCAATAATATATATTCTCCCATATATCGGTTATCCTGTCAGAAACTTTTATAACTAATCACATTTTTTTTATATTATATAATTAAAAACAACTGCTGTAGGGTTTTTTGTTGCCTTTGTTTTTCACAGGTTCACATTTTACACCCACCATTTGTACCTAGTAAATGTAGACAGCTTCTGACAGATTATATTGTACTTGCCAAGACAAGATTGGAAGATCTCAAGGTATGTAAAGTCGGGCCATTCTTTTTCATAGACAATGACTATGCACTGTATGCAGGTAGTATCTAGGATGGTAAGAGAGTATAAAGCCTTTTTTAACATTTTATTGGCAGGGAACAGGTCTTTAGGTCTTAATTATTAAAAAATCTGATTATACATGCATCTTTCCAAAAATTGTTCTGCCTGTATGTTCTATTCTAGATGGAGAACAGAAGTCAGAGAGGTTCTCTATTTCAGATAAGGTACAGTTAAAGATGCTGTATTCTAGATATAGTACAATTAAAGATGCACTATTCTAGATATAATACAGTGTAAGATGCACTATTCTAGCTATAATACAGTGTAAGATGCTATAGTACAGTGTAAGATGCACTATTCTAGCTATAATACAGTGTAAGATGCTATAATACAGTGTAAGATGCACTATTCTAGCTATAATACAGTGTAAGATGCTATAGTACAGTGTAAGATGCACTATTCTAGCTATAATACAGTGTAAGATGCTATAGTACAGTGTAGGATGCACTATTCTAGCTATAATACAGTGTAAGATGCACTTTTCTAGCTATAATACAGTGTAAGATGCTATAGTACAGTGTAAGATGCACTATTCTAGCTATAAACAGTGTAAGATGGTGTGCTTATGCTATAGTACAGTGTAAGATGCACTATTCTAAGCTATAATACAGTGTAAGATGCTATAGTACAGTGTAAGATGCACTATTCTAGCTATGATACAGTGTAAGATGCTATAGTACAGTATAAGATGCACTATTTACGCTATAATACAGTGTAAGATGCTATAATACAGTGTAAGATGCACTATTCTAGCTATAATACAGTGTAAGATGCTATAGTACAGTGTAAGATGCACTATTCTAGCTGTAATACAGTGTAAGATGCTAAAGTACAGTGTAAGATGCACTATTCTAGCTATAATACAGTGTAAGATGCTATAAATACAGTGTAAGATGCACTATTCTAGCTATAATAATAGTGTAAGATGCACTATTCTAGATATAATACAGTGTAAGATGCGCACTATTTCTAGATATAATACAGTGTAAGATGCACTATTCTAGATATAATACAGTGTAAGATGCACTTTTCTAGATATAATA